AGCAGCTAGCCAAGGGTCAGGCAGGCCTCCCAGCTAGGTTTCTCTTTGTTGCCTCTGTTGTCTTTGCTTCCTTCGTTTTTAGAAAATCAGCAGTCAGAGGTTAGATGCAATACAATATGAAGTGCTACTTCCGTAAATGTCAAATAATATCAGTTTTAAAGTTAAAAGTATCCTCCACAAAACATTATGTCATAAAATCAATGTACTCTTCGGTTGACACTTACCATTTTTTATTCTGCACGTGGTAAAGCCTATTGCAGTGACATTAGGAATTTAATTCCTATTCTTCATTTAGGTATCATAATTGTAAAAATATTCAGGATACAAAGGGCTTAGGGACTATGTTTAAATATTCTAATTTAATTTAGCCAGAGGGAAAATGGGGTTAAAGCATCCAATCAGGAAACTTGTCATGCGTCAGAACAGAAAAGCCTTCATATATGTTTGCACATGGACACACACACACACCTGCCCACACATACACACACACATGCACACAGAGAATAATTGGGACCTCTTTAGCAAGTATTTTCAGTGGCCATTCTGAGCCATGTAAACTTTCTATGAAAATTAATTCCTGAAGTGAAACAGAAGACCTTTTCTTTACCAGTTTTTGATAGCTTCTTTTTCTCAAGTACTTATGCTGACCACTGTCGTGTGTGTGTATAGATCCTGGGAATCAGGATTCTGTGTTACTGAGTTGACACCTGTGAAGATTTTCATTGAAATATCTTCATAATATCCTCTAAAGAGATCACTACTGGTGGTAGAAGTGGAAAAAATTTCTGAACATTTTTCAGGAGCTTGAACTTCTCTCTCTCTCCCTCCCACCCTCCCTCCCTCCCTCTCCCTTTCTCTCTACCTCTCCCTCCCCCTTCCCTCCCTTTCTCTCTCCTTCCCTCCCTCCCTTCTTCTCTCTTTCTCTCTCTCTACCTCTCCCTTCCCCTTCCCTCCTTCCCTTTTTCTCTCTCTCTCCCTCTGTCCCCTTTCCTCCCTCCCTTCTTCCCTCCTCTCTCCCTTCCTCTTTCCCTCTCTCCCTCTTTCTCTCTCTCTCCCTCCCTGTCCCCTTTTCTCCCTCCCTTCTTCCCCCCTCTCTCCCTCTTTCTCTCTCCCTCCCTCCCTCCTTTCCCCTTCCTCCCTTCCTCCCTCCACCCCCCTGACCTGCTGCTTGCATGGCACCTGGGGCTTTGCAGAGACCAGGCAAGCGCTCTACAGCTGAGCTGCAACTTCAACCCTGAAGTCTGAACTTTTATGTTTAATGATGTCAGTATAAGTTCTCCATAAAATTTTAAGAATTTGCTCAGTTTCGTTTGGGAAATGCTTTGATTTTTAAAAGAAATCACATGTAAAATCAAGAGAAAGATGAACATTACAATTTTTAAATCAGTACTAGTGAGACCACGCGTGCGCTGCCTTCTTTGGAGCTGTGTGTCGCATCTCACATTCCAGTGCGCTTGCCTGTCTCTAGTAGCGCCCGCTAGCCCGCCCTGCCATCGGGACTAGTGATCACTGTGACTGGCCTCGGGACCCCCGAGGACACAGATACTACAGTGATGACCATTTACACGAGCAGCGCATGTATTAAAGGATGAGACGTGTTTCATTAAACACCCACCTTGTAATCTGGGTGTGCTGTAGCCTTGGGAAAATATATTTTCATGCCCCCAGTGATAAGAAGTTAACTAAATATTTATGAGGAAAATAAAAACATAAATATGTTTTTGGTGAAGCTGAATTTTATTACAAGGGAAATAATTGGAAATATAGGATATTAGAATGCATATAGAATGTTGTCTTTATCAAATACTTTTTAAGCAGATCCCAACTTGGTAGTAGATTATAGTGTAAAAGTAAGTAAATAAGAATTCAGAAGTGGTGCTCGTGACCAGGCCGAGCACTTGCCTGGCTCATGTGTGGGGCTGGTTCCCAGCACCTGTCAAACAGAGAGCATCTTCCGGGGGCCTCTGACATATCACCACACACACACACACACCTGCGTGCACACACACACACACACACACACACACACACACACAGCAAACAGGAAATGGATGTAGCCCAGGCAGAGAAGCTGTGAGAGCTCCTTGTACCATTCCTGCACCTTTTCTATAATTTTGGCATTTTAGCTAAATAAGAATTATGAACAAATTGTACTTTCCTGGAGAAATTGTGACGTCTGTGACAGGTTCCCTAGAATACCCTACAAAGTCCCACAAACTATGAAAAATGAAAATAAAAAGCAGTAAACCCAAGTCATTTGTGTCTACTCCTCCTCCTGCAGTTTCCAACAAGGGAGATGGCGGATCTTGAAGGAAGAGAATCATAAAGATCACGTAAAAGTTTGAAATTCCCATAAAGCATGCATGAGAACAGGCATGTATTTGTAGGTGATGGTGACCACATGCTTCAATTTCGGAGGAAACCGACTCACACTCTGCCCGTGTGATCCTGCCCCAGTTTTCCCTCCCTTCTTTCCTTCCTTGCATCCTGGAGGTCAGGTCTGGGGTGTTCCACTGAGCTACATCCCCAACACTCTTTCTGTCTTATTTTGATAGTCTCCCTCAGTGGCTCGGGGGCTCTTGGCGGGGTACCCTGCCTCCACCTCTTGGTGTTGGGATTAGCCGTGTGTGTGCCATTGTGCTTGGCGGCACCCTGAGCAGGCAGCTGGGGAAACGAGCCCTGGGCTTTCGGGTCAATCTCAAGGCCACTAGCCTGCAGATCCCCGTAGAAGACAGGGAGCACTCTTGTGCTCTAGCTGTCTGCCTTCCAAATGCCTTCCTCTCAGAGTGCTGGCCATGTCAAGGAGGACCTGCCCAGGCCGTACCATGCTACAGGGCAGTGCAGCGCCCCTCAGTGGGCGCACAGGTGAAGGAGTGGTGCGTGTGCCTTGCCTCCGGAGGACAGAGCGGGGCTCCCCGGGACATCACCCAGTGCCCAAAGCCACAGTCCAGTCTGAGATTATATAATATTTTCCAATTTTTTATTGTGTTTTCAGTTGACATATATTCAACTCACGGTAGCATTTCCAGAAAAGGATCAAGGGATGACCGCAGTAGCAGTAGCGCTCAGCCATGGGCCTGGCCTCAATGAATTGTTAATAAGTAACAATCCCTTTTTTGCATACTCTGTTAGAGCAGCTTGCTAGGTTCCGCTCACAACAATCTATGGTAACTTATCAAAAGAAAAAGGCTTATTTTGGCTAATATTCTTGCAGGTTTTGGTCTGTGATTAGCAGGATCTGTGGTTGAAGTGCCCTCCTGTGTGCTGTGGGTGGTGGCTGCATGTCACAGCACTGTGCTCAGAAAACAAAGAGGACAGTGGGGTCCAGCACCCCAGCGGCCTGGCTTTCTCACCCTGCCCCACAGCCCCCCACAATGGCGCCTCCAGCCCGCAGGCCACTGGTTCCAGATCCATATGACCTCCTTCACTGAGCAGTACAAACGCATTTGTTTCACCTAGCTGGGCACTTTGACGCTAACTTACTGTTTTCTAATGGCACCTGGATAGCTGGACAGAGCACGCCTTCACTGGCGCAGGGACGGAGACCGTGCATGGAGGACTCACAAGGTGAGGACTCACGAGGTGCACCACACTCCAGGGAGGAGGGCTCCAGGGAGGAGGACTTCCGGTCTGCCCCGGGAGAGAAGCTCAGGGCTACAGACACAACGTGGAAGTGGAATTCCACACAGCCACACAGGTTAAACACTTGGTCAAAAGAGAACACGAGCCTGACATTTTCACGCAAGAGCTATGCACCGTACTTGTCATGGTATCTGGAGTCACAGCAGCCTTGGTGACCTCTGCTGGGAAGGGAAGGGTCACTCCTGCTGTGAGTCCAGGAGTCCAGGCCCCCCCCCCTGTGGTGGGAGCAGTCAGTCTCCTTATAGGAAATGCAGGAATAGTACAGGGGACTCTCTTGAAGCATTTTTATGTATTTCCTCATTTTCCCTGGATTATACATGCCTCCCCATTTGCTCTGTCTTCGTGTGCAGCCTTGTTAAATTCAGTTTCCTTCTGCTCTTAGTGTGCCAGGTTCTAGATTTTATTTTTCCTCCTAGCACTAGGGATTTAGCCCTTGGTCTCGTGCGTGCCGGACACACACTCTTGCACCGAGCCACACCCCTGGCCCCTGGATTTCAGATCGCTCATGAAGAGCTGCGCCGCTGAAAATTTTTCTTTTATTATACTGATGATAGGCACCCAGGGGCACTAACTCTAAGCCAGACTCAATGCCGCACATTTTAGTGCCACCTGCATTTATCCTAAAGCAGCCCTGCTTTCGGCCATATGTGCATCCGACTGGTCCACAGAATCCCCACACTTTTAAGCAGCAACCAGCTCCTCAGCTTCCTACCAATGCCCCCTTCTTCCTAAATTCATTCAATGAAAACAACCAATGTCTTCATAAGTGCATACACTTCTAGTTATAAAAAATTAAGCAAAAGAAAAGACACAACGGTCTAAAAGCTACTTCTTTTATAAAATCAACACAGATTC